CAACATACACCAATAAAGCTGCGGAACTTTAACTACTGGCAATGATTACTAACACATCCTTGCTCGTATAGTATGTCAAGGCAATTCCCAGGTGAAGAATTTCCCAGGCATTGGTATTTCGTAAGGAAATCTTTATGAGGAAACACTTAAATTTATATCTTTTCATCCGATCAAAATGCATTGACACCGCATACTATGTGGCTATTCAACAAACATTAGTCCAAAAGAAATTCTACGCTTATTCTAATTTCGTCATCCGCTGTTATACACTCACAGCAACTGAGGAACATGAAGGAATAAAGATTACTTCTGCAGTATAACTACTGTAAATCAGTTTAATGCAATGAAAATATACTGAAATGCCTAAAAATGGCCGAACGGGCTGAATATTGGTAAGTTCAGTTTGAGTACGGATCACGATTTTTGTAGCCTATGCAATGAATCTCACGCATAACATGAAAACGAGCCAGGTCCTCACTAATGGCCGTTTGATTAAGACCGCTGAATAATGGGATTCGATTCTAGGCAAAAACGTCTGGCTGCGTAATTGTTTTTCATGATTTTCTGCATGCGCAATATGAAATATGAACCAATTTTCCTTAGAAGGTCCTTCCCAAAGGCATTCCTCCTCTTAGGTAGATAGCCCGTGTGTGCTTTGCCATATTCTAGAAACCATAACCAGCCAGTTTCCATTATGAAATCCTCCAAGAGATTCCTCACCTTAGGCACGTAACCCTAACGTGCTGTATGTCATCAAAGATTATAATGCTAATACTTAGCAGGAAATTCAACTGAAGGCGAATAAACTGTTGAACGAATATCAGTTAAAGGCATCCATGAGCTTTATGAACAGATAGAGATATACTGCATTACGTTTAGAGATTTACATGAAGAAAGCTAATCGGCATGAAGCCTCCGATTAGCTTTCTACGTGTAACTCATGACATTCTTAAAGATTTTAATGTTTATCAATTTAGTCTGAAAACTTGACATGCTCTATGTAATAATGATTATTAAGATGTTAATGAATAACGTAATAAAACACTTAAATTTCTGATTCGACTTTCGATACGATTTTAGAATAATTTTAAAACATAAGTTCCAGTCATAAGCAGCTAATAATTATAATATTATAAATGAGTAAGTGAGTGCGCCGCTGAGATGGCTTCCGATCACGGGGGTGAACCAAATGGAATTGAATACCGACCCAGCAGGGAAATCTACTGTATGTCAAAACTGGACAAATCAATAATAATAATCTGGTAATATATAAATGATCCCAAAATTTTGAACAGCATTATTACTATGGGCGAATTCTATAGTACAAACATTACGTTGCAAGACAAATTGTGTGAAGATGCCTATTACCATAGTACATCCGTACTAGTGATTCTACAAACTTCATTGCAAGGTATGAGTAAAATCAGCTAACTTCCTAAATCAATAGAATACTACAGGGACATGAAGCAAAATAATACAGTATGGTACAAATGAAGATGCGAATAGAACGTAATAAACATACTATAAATGCATGAAACATATACATAAATGCAATATACATAAATGCAATATAAGTACATAAATGCAATATATTATTGTGATCTACAATTGAAACCAATTCGTTAAGAACCAATACTTAACAACATATTTGCATATATTATGTACCACACATTGTAATGCTTACTATTCTAATGCAAAGTTTTCTTGTACAGAAAAGAACTAACTATTACTAAATAATGCTAATTACATTGAACGTAAGCACCCTATTATTTCGTCCCAAGCGAGCATACCTCAACTTGTTTACTCAACTCGCTTAGGTCTTCATCAGTTTACCGATTGGTTCATCATAATCAGAGACATGGAATGGACTTCTTGAGGAAAATTTTAAGCAATCTCATAATTTCCGACTTTTAGAGTTTTAAGTGGTCATTGCGATAGCCAGATTTAAGAGCCATAGATACTTTTTTTACGGCTCTTAAAAGGAAATGTGTGTGCAAATATTGAAATAAACCACGAACTACATAGCAACATAAAGCCAATATTCGACATTACTGTGGAATTTGTAGGATCAAATTCCACAGTAATAGAACACAGTAAATCGAGGCCAACAATAATCGTTATTTGTTAGATATTAATTTTAAAATCGAAGGTAAATTTATTTCCATAAATTGTATTTAATGTTAAGAACGTCAAAAAGTAAATAATTATGTCAGAAATGTTTTTATTCTTTATTTAAATGATAACGTTACTATGCGCCACTCGATATTCTGAAAATCTCACTCGCCACTTAAAGGGAGAAAGTGATTAGTTAAATAATTAAAGACTTTTGAATAGTTTTCAATAGACGAGGTAGTTGTTTTCTGCGGGACTGCTTGAAGGTTGAAATGCTAATGGCATTCGAATGGAACAACATTCCTCTTGACTAAGCGCTTCAGGATTTTCTGAATAGCGTGCTCTTCTATCTATGTGCTTCAACCACATTATCACTGAGTAAATATAATTTGATTTAACTTTACAACGGCAGACTATGTTGAGAGCAAGCGGTAGTTGCAATTTTATTCAGCTGCACTTGTCTTGTTTGCATCATATATTTATTGCATTTCTTTAAAAAAATAAAAAATAAAATAAAAAAAAGTGATATTTAACTTCGCTTTTATATACTAGACAACCTTGAACCTGTATTTACTCGAATTTCAGTGTCTCGAAATTTTCAGTAAATCGAATAGAATGTTTCCGATCATGAAATGTGTTTAAAATTAATGTAAATTCCTCTCGATAAATCGAATTCCTTCAGTTCAAAAATCTGGCATGCCGAAATTTTGTCGAATGGCGCTGATGTTGTTTTTCATTAAAATTTTTTCTTTCCCGATAGACCGAAGTGAGGTAATATCTCCAGGACATGGACACCGTGTCATAGTTTTGGATTCAAGTACAAAGCAGATTTTGTGGAAACGTTTCATGATTTTATGGATCATTTTATGATTCCCATGAGCAATCCTACCAGCGGTGCTTTTGGGAGTACATAAAAAATACATTTTTAGAAACTTGTAATTTATTTTACAAGATACATTAGCTTCAGAATCAATGGAGTTGTTTAACAGTTTTTACTTTTTCATATTTTTAAAACATTTATTATGCTTTTAAGCAATCAAAAGTTTGTGTCTTTAAAATGTTATTTTGTTTAAATTATTTATGCTAATATTTTCATATAATAGTTATGCTGTTGAAAAAAAAAAAAAAAAAAAAAGAAAGAAATATTATCGCATTAAAAGAAAATTTTAACTGTTATTATAATTTTCAAATAGAAATAAGCTCATTTTCTGTTATAAATGTCATGCTGTTTATTTTTTCTCCGAACCTGTTTTGGACATTTTAGTTTAACATCATCGATAAAATATTTATGATTTTAATCACATTTCCATGTTTGTTACGTGTCGAAGTAATTTTTACCATTAACGTGCGAGTTTACCTTTATATTATACTGTGTATGTTGAATATAGTAGAACAAACGAATACAGAATACACGCAAAGAGGTTGCTTTAAAGGAATGATGTTGTAGAGTCGTTAAGATTTTTGGAAGCAGACAAGATGAAAAATACGAAACCGCTTTCGCCGGGAATCGAACCACGGACCTCTGGAATACCGGCCCAGCGTGCTACCGTTACACCACGAAGGCACGCTAGGGAAGTGGGAGAAATACCTTATAATGTTTATTGATGTTTTAGAAAATATTCACTTTCTTAGGTGTTCTTCTACGCTAAATGGTCAGTCATCATATATTACTTTTCTTTGGATGTTTAGAATGTGCTTGTTAACGAAGTCTCAGATGTTTCCAAAGCGAAATTAAAAAAAAAAAAAAATATTTATTCGAATTTTCGATTACTGGATTTTTCCTGGTTTCTTTTAATTTCTGTTTAATAAAGTTCAACAGTAGTTTTTATCTGTGAGTCTTAGCTATTGAATTCTGAGTAATATTTAGAGCTAGAACTTGTGAGTGCAATATTTAAAATTTGGTTTAAATTATATTCACTTTAACGTAATCGTTTAATATGGAATAATGAAACTTTAGTATATACTATTCTATAAAACTACATCATCGGTATATGATTTGCCTGTAAAGCTGACTTTCTTGATCGCCAGTTTCTAAGACTAAGTTAAGTTCATGCTCAGAAGCATCCACAAAGGTAGATTTGATGTCACTTCTGTTTTATTTATGGGTTACGTAAAAAGTCCATGTATGTATAAATTTTTTTAAATTTTAACGCATTTCTACATCAGCTTGTTTTTTTTAACCTAAAATTACAAATAACCTCACATTTCATTCATAACGCCTTAGGTTTTTTTTTTTTTTTTAGATTACATACTTACTTCTGACGCATTAAGGGAAGTAGAAAGGACATATAATGCTAAATATTTTGCCCTAGACGTAAATTTTACAACTTTGTTAACAACACTTGTAGAGACACACATGTAGACTTGTAAATTTTAAAACTTTGTTAACAACACTTGAAGAGACACACTTGTAGATTTGTAAATTTTAAAACTTTGTTAACAACACTTGTAGGTTATTTGGAAGCAGCGACATGAAAAATGTGCAATGTTCTCGCGGAGACTCGGACCTCTCGAATACGAGCCGGTCGTGCTGAGCATTATACCACGAAGACATGCTAAAGAAAGCTGGATATTACCTTATATACTCCCCCTTTTAAAGGGCGACTGGGGATTAAGGGACCCAATCGCCAAATCTTGATAGTGGAAAATCATCATCCACCACCTTTTTTACTTGAGGCGCATCTGTAGAATAATTAGGATTTTTTTGATGCGGGAGACGTGAGAAATGAGCAGTGCCCTCACCGGGATTCGATCCTCGGACCTCTCGAATGCGTGCCGAGTGTGATGAACACCATACCTCGAAGGCATGCTCAGAAGGCGGAAGAAATATCTTATACAGTCAGTACTTTTAATAAAAACAAAGCTAATACAATACCAAGTGTCCTCACCTGATTTGGGATAAGTAATAATAAATACGTCATCATCTCTAACTTCGAAGTCGTCCAGCCCTTGCAAGATATTGGGATGGACGAGATATCCCTGTAGAAGAACTCCTTTGAACCACTGAGCCCTGGGTATAGAGCGAATGTAGGCCGCTCGAAGAGGATCCATATCAAGAGTGGGATCTTGATCGGCCAGAACAATTTCTTTTCCAGACTTTCCTTCTCGCTTCTTTTTTCGCCATCCGGTGACAAAAGATCCTAAAGGACTGTTGTAGAGGAACTTTAAGGAGAGCATGGCACACAAAAAAAGGTAGGGACTATTTTACCTGGAAGAAAATTGCAACTATCAGTAGATGAATTTAATTAATATAAAACCATAACATATCTGAAAAATTTCACAACATTAAAATTTAATCTCAAACCATCTGTTTCAAAACATCGAAGTACAAGCTGATCTAAAAGTTAACATGGATTTAAAGAAGTTCGTATTTCAGTCTCTTTTCAATATATTAAATACATTTCAATCTCTTAGAACTATTTGATGAATGGCACCGGATAAACGTCTTTCAAAATAGCCAATGACGTTGATTAATCTGTGTACACTCCCGTGTGAATAAGGAACTGCCAACAAGACTTAAACCGAAAGTTTGCATAATCTCAGGAACTTGTTCTTGCTGGAGCAAACTCGGTGTTACTGCAGCTTAAATACAAGTATCTTATTTTTCAGTATCTTTTATACTTTGAAGTTACCTGATTTGTAATAACAATGTAAAACTTAACTACATTTGAATTTATTTCCTTTACCTTTATTTAACTCATTTTGGCTATTGCATTGAACATTCGATGCACCGTTACTTTCGATGACGAAAGCAAAAAGGAAGGTAATTATTTTTGCCTATTATGTTGAAGGTATTGTTTTCGTCATATCTCTGACTTCAGAATCTCCATAAATCATAAGGCTTCGAGTTCTGAACGGTTATATCGCTTAGGCCACATTTGCATTGAAAGTGACACTTAAAGATGAATAAATTCTTTTCAAAGCAAAAAGTGAACCTCAATCCTCTATTGAATTCAGTGTTTACAAATTCTGTAAATCCACTTCATAAATTGAAGAAAAATATTCTGCAGCGAATGTAGTAAATAATCACCCTTTCATGGTAATACAGTTGTCTTCCCTTCTAGTTAATGCCCACCTTGAATATAGGATATCTTAAAAGGAGTAGAGTTCCACACGTCTCGAATCTGTTTGATTAGAATGTTTAACAGGACTATACAGTCTCTGACTCACCTTATGAATGGATAATGTTTATCGTTTGTTATAAATAAATCATCAAAAATGAGTTCGGTTTCCTGAATTTATTACAGAGCACTTAATGTTTGACGCCACCTACAAGCTACAATCACTTAATGCAAAACTAACCAATTAAAACCAGCAACATAACCCAAGTCTTGGCTGCCCAATAAAATTTCAGGATTTTTCTCGAACTCAACTTCCAAATTATTTACATGCATATTATTGCGTTCTGCGGGTTTGTGGATTTGGAGTAATTTATACTAACACTTGATGAGGAATCAAAACATAATTGTTCGCCAGTATTACATAAGGCAGTTTTAAAGACACAGTTACAGTCGTCGAAAAACTACGATAAAGAAGCTGAAACAATCAGCAACACAGCATTCAGGCTATGACGGTGAAGACAACTTCACGGCAAAGCACTAAAATACAGCTCTCAACTTGGTCGATTGCTCTCAAGCTCATCTCTAAACTCAAGACACTCTATTTTCTCAGTGTACAGGCAGGGTATATATAGCTTTAACCTACCTGCGAGAAAATTCCAGAGAAAATCCGCTAAGAATACGTTCTAGAATGTTCTCGCTCCGTCTATGGCATATCACCAGTTTTATCACCAAATGGGCGATTTCGAGCCAAACCCGGCAACCCAGCATTCCCCTGCTGTTTTCTGGCAACCCTAACAACGTTTTACGTGGAAGCTATCTCACCGCAGCTGGGCATTTCGCAACATTGAACCCTCCCAAGGATTGCATGTCCCGGGCAGTACAATCTTTGATCAGAAGCCAAATTCAGTAGAATATTAATGAAATTCGCTTTTTAATGTTTAAAGATATTACTTTAGATTTTAATTCATGAGTAATTTAAGGCATTCTTTACCAGCGGGATTTTCCATACGTCGGCCAAATAAAGACGCTTAAAATTTCTCAATAAGAACATAAAGCTTAAGTTAAAAAGAAAGAAATCTATTTTACCTAATCCTCACTGGATCCATAACTATTCTTTTTAAAAATTAGCAAATACTTATACGAATAAAAAAAGATAGGAATCGGAATGGAGTTTTGGGCAAAGACATCAAGGACTGCTTGTGGTATATCAGCTCTAAACACATATAGCTTCTAGTTTAGTGAATACGAAAGTTTTTTTAACCAGACGAATACGAAAGTAAACGACAGAATATTAACAAGTTTCTAAAATCAAGGAGACGTAGAAACAGAGAGTAATTATTACAAAGCCATCAAGAATCTTTTCCTAAATTTTGCTTTTCCAAACGATAGCAGTTCCCAGAAAATAACTGTTATCTAAAAAGAGAACTTAGATTTTTAAAAGTGGATTATGAAAGAGTTAAATACAAAATCAATACACATTTTCCTAATAGCGGATCGCTCACCCTGAGGTATGTAAAAAATGTGTTCCGTTTTCGGTTATGAAAGTGCACCTGTCCAACGGCAAAACTTTTTCTTTTCTCCACCCTCATGTCCTTGAGCACAAGTACTCATCATTTATGAAGAACTCTGAAAAATCGATAACTATTCCATCAGAGGGTCATGACGTCATCAAGAAGAAGTTTGAAACCATTCATTAGGGAGGAGTCAGAAAGAATGACGATAATTTCATAGCAGGTATGAGATCCCGTGATAAGTAGGAAAAAATCATCATTTTGTAGACGGAATTTAAGTGGATTAAGGGATTAAAGTCAAATATTGAAAGAAGATTATATCTGATGAAAAGTTTCCGAACAACTTTTTGAAGTCTTAATGATACAAGCATAAAGTAACAAAATGTACTAACTCAAAACTCAAAACATTTAACAAAACTCAAAACATCTTCAATAAAAATTGTAAAACACAGGAAAACATAAAACACCAAATACAGTTAAAACAGGTAAAAAAAAAAAAAAAAAAAAAAAAAAAATTACAGTTAGAGTTTCTACGCAAAAATGAGCATTTTTGCCAGCGGAAAAGAAAACACATTTTTTCGGTGCCCAAAACTGAACGTTTACTTTTGGTCCCACTCAACAGAAGACACTGAAAGTGCAGAAACTGACTTAATTCATTATTCTGCTAAGCGGTTCGGATGTAAACAAATGGCGGCTTCGTCAGGCTTGATAGCATTTTAACAACTTTTAAATTGCTGATAATTCCACAGCTATTGCATGCAAATTAACTAAGACCTTTGTAGAGGCATTAGGTTAATTTGGAAGCAGGGAAGATGAAAAATCGCCTTCGCAGGGAATCGAACCATAGACCTATGAAATACCGGCTCAGTTGCTTACTACTATACCGCGAAGACACGCTAGGAAGGCGAGAGAAATACCTTATATACTCCCCCTTTTAAAGGGCGACTGAGGGTTTTGGGAAACCCAATTGGCACATCCTGGGTGAGGAGAATTATCATACAACACCCTTTTAGTTCGGGCGCCACTGTACAGACATTAGGAGTTTTTTGGAAGCCAGAGAGATGAAAAATGACCAATCGCCTTCGCCGGGAATCGAACTACGGATCTCTGAAATACCGGCTCAATGTGCTGACCACTACACAAGGAAGGCACGCTAGGAGGTCGGGGGAAATACCTTATATCCTAACCGGAACATAAGAACAAAATAATTAAATCATTTCTAAAGCAAAAAAGTGCACAATTTACCCAACATATAAGAATAAAAGAAACTGAGTTCACCAGGCCGAGTATATAATACATATACTATATATACCAAAGGTCCCAGAGCAAAACTATTACGAAGCCTCCCCTCTTATTTTTCAATGTAGTAAATGTTCAAGAAGTGATAATATACATAAAATTTTACACATTTTAAACATTGTAGAAGGATTTAGAGGACCCATTGAAAGTGGAAGCCTGAGGCTCCACTTTCAAACAGCCAGCTACACATGTTACGTTTGCAGTTGCTCACATGGGATAAAATCAGAAAAAAAAAGAAAAACATTCATTAAGTTAGAAAAAAATAACGTCACTTGATCAAAAAGAGTAATTTTCCTGCAATCAAAGAGGATACTTTTTTATTTAATATTTTTTCAGCGTCTTAGAGGCTAATATAATTAGAAATAATAAAAAATGTATGTAAAAAGCCTTTTAACTTACATAGTTTCTTTTAAATGACTAAAAAGTAAAAAATAATTTTTTTATACATGATGATAATCATGGTCGTAAGTCACAACTTTTATTACAATGCATTAAAACCTGTCATTTAATGCTTAAATTTTGAAAATTAATTAAGAGAACAACTCTGTAAACTCTGTAAAAAACTGCATGTAAGATTTTTCATCCGAAACTATTACACAGAGAAAACAAATCGAGTATGAAATCCTTTTAAATCGCCGCCTTATAAATGATCTCTTGCGAGGTATGAACAGTTAGTTAACTTCTGATAGCAGAGCGTGAGCTTTGATTAAACAGTAATGCTGTACCTTGAGAGCGACAGAACACCTCCGTAGCTCCACACTTTACGTCCATGAATCCAGCGTATCGGACTGGAGCTCTAAAAAGCCATGGCAGTTCATCGATAACCTATGGTGTTTGTTCCCTTTTAGATTGTGGATGTTTCGATTAGGACCTCTGATTACTTGTACCAAGCATCCTAACCGCATTTAAGTATTCCCTAACCGTAGTACTGGGCGATCATTATCATCCGTCCAGGCTTTTCTGCCACCTGGATAGTGATGGAGTGAGTGTATCAGGAAAGACAACTGCGGCTGTCATAGATCCCGGTTGCTTACCACTTGACTCAAGGAGCGTTTCACTGAAATTTAATCCCTGAAGTGGAAACTCGAACTTTAACGTCACTGAACATCTTTGAGATACACTGGAAAAGTGGTGCAAACAATAGCATGCACAACTAGCGGCCTTAACTGATTTAAGGTAAATTTTAGAAGATGTTTCGCAAGCTATGATCTTTGAAACATTTCGACAGACTTTTTGAATCTGTGTAATAGTCATTATCCAAGGCCAAGGAGTATAGAAATTTGTACTAATCTGGTATCTTTAATCACTGGCTCTTCAATGTACTAAGCAACGAACAA